AAATATGTCTTAGGGATGCCTGTCCCCACCATGTTTGCACTGGCATGCATGCTGTATTGACCCTTTGCAACCAGCACTTTGCCATGTTGTACATGCTGGCCCAGGGCACAATCCCTGTTGTCCTCATATCCTTGTGCTGCAGGATATGCAGGATGACCTACTACCTCAACTTCCACCATGAGAAGCAAGTGGCAGAGGAGGTTTGGGTCTACTATGGTGGCATGCCATCCATCCTTCAAGCTGAAAAGCACATGGCTTTTGAAGACTGTCTCTGCCATCTCTTTTGCATGCAGACTGTCCATCTTTTGCATGCAGACTGTCCATGCCCAGTACACATGTCTATCCATTTGTTTGTCCCTTTCCTTCCCTCCCCTCTAGTGTGTACCTCTTCCCAGAGGGGCTGCTGGATGGCAATCTCTTCTTCTTTCTTGCTGAGTATGTCATCATCCCTATGACTAGCAGAGACTGATGCAGGGATCAGTGCATCTGCAAATGCAGACATATACAACCTGATGCTGGCAAATGCCAGTATCCTGCAGCAAGGTCAATATTGCCTGTCCCTCCTTCAAAGCAAAAGTATATCCAACCTGTTCAACCTTTATGCCTTGCTTCTCCACCATGCCAAGCAGGGCAGCATTCTCCACCTTCCCAACAATGCCCAGCACCAGTACAACCAACTCAAATATGCCATGCAAGAGTGCAATGCTTTCATGGCCTATACCAGCCAGCCCCACTGGGCACATGTGTGCTCTGAGTGCACCAAGACAATCCAGCATGATGGGCATCCCTGTGAGTGCACTGATTCATTCAGTTACATTCATTACTCATCCTCTACAGACGTTATGAGTTGTGCCATCACAGATGGCATAGCTATTGGCCACTCATGCTGTGCCATCCACAACTGTCCTCTCCCTCTTCCTAGTTCTCATGCCCACTTCTGCATTCCTCATGCCCATCTCAAATATGTCTGCATCTTCCCAGGCTGCAATGCTCCTACATGACTGGACATGCAGACCTGTGACCTGGAAGAGCATGCTGCACAAGAGACAGCATACCACACTGCTGGCAATTTGTATGCCTTGCTCTGACAGTGTTGATGCAAGGCATACCAATGCAATGAGATTGGCCACAGCTGCTATTGGCCAAGACCAGCTGAGGAGGAGGACAAGGATGAGGAGGATGAGGAGCAGGAGGAGGCACAGGATAAGCAGGTGTAGGTGCACATCCCAGACAATGGGGAAACGCTACCGGTTGGTGCCAGGCTGGCAAAGGGGAAAGAGAAGAGGAAGGAGAAGGGGAGCAAGGCCGCTGCCAAGCCAAAGTACAAAGGCTTGCACTTCGGCAGGTGCAGGACGCACCACAAAGAGCTTGTGGTCTGTCCATGCAGCATCATACTTGCTTGGGCAACCTTCTATGGTTCAGAGGGCATGTCCTCAGTTGCAGTCAGCAAAGTTCACGCATCCATAGAGCAAACACTAACCTTTCACTTCTCAGCCTTTCCTCATGTCTGTATTCCCCACACGTAAGGCCATGCCTGAGGTGTTGTTCTTCGATAACAACTGCACTCTAGGCCAATATCTCATAGGCCAACTGGAAGCCAAGCACTTCAAGGAGACTGCACTTGTGGTGGATGTCTTCCACTACAAGGCAAAGCATGCAGACAACAATGTCTATTGCAGCACTCACTGCAATCTGGTGTCTTTCCCCAAGTTGTACAATCCAGTGTCAGAAACCTGGATGTTCAACTCCTTGGTGTGGGAGCAGACCAACATGTGGATATGCAAGTATCAAGGTCAGCTGTGAGAGATGAGTGCCATTCAATTCAAGTTCTTCCTTGACAAGGTGATCAAGGTGAGGAATGAGGCGATCATAGAGGGCTTGGAGTGTTGAGGTTTGGCTCCTCACTTGAAGCCTGCCAGTGCACTGTAGACTATGTACAACTAATTGGATTACTTGGTTTATATACTGTACAGTATTCCATGAGCATACAGGTCAACCATGGTGATAAGATAACAGTGATGGCAAGCACAGTTTGCATTAAGAAACTATATATGTATGGGTTGTTCATTTGTGCAGAAGTTCTACATCAGCTTCTTTGGCCTCATGCTCCCCGTCTTGTGCTTCCTTCTGGGCCTTCCTATGAGCTTTCCACTCCTTCCAGCTCCACTTTTTTGCTGCTTTGGTCAACAAAGCAGCAGGAGGACCAGGCATTTGAGGGGGTGAGGAAGGAGGACTTGCAGAGATCAACTTGGCAGGTCCAGGTGTGGCAGGCTGCTCAGGGATTGCTGCAGCCAGAGACAACACTTCCTCAGAGATACAGGGAGGGTACTCATTGAAGACCACTGGAAAAGGGGCTTGAACATAGAATGGTGTGCCTGTGCTAGTCTGCATGCATACCACCCCCCTCACCCATGGCCAGAGCAGCATCCCANATTGCTTGCT